AGGGGAGGGGGGAAGTACCAGGGGTGCAAGGGAAAAGAGGACCGACGCAGGAGGACAGTGGTAGGGCAGCGGAGTTGACTCCTCTGCCGGAGAGTTGTGTGGGAGCCGCCGCGCTGCTCCCTAGCGATGAATCTATAATGAATTCACGCTAGCGAAGCGGGTGTGGCGACGAGGGGGCGGTGCCGGTTACGGCATGCTTATTGGCCCTCCTTTTTAAAGGAGGGATTAATTTGTTGATGATTGTTTTGGAGGGAGTTGGGGTTAATAAGATAATGAAGACAGAGAGAAGTAGGCTTATTGGAGGGAAGGTCAGGGTTTAGAGCTAGGAGCAAAGGTGTTAGGCGGCGAGGATAAGGGTAAGCTTTTACGATGCCTTGACCCAGGAATTTGAATTTTACGACCAGGGGAAGGATGGAGAATTGGGAGAAAAACAATTATTATAGAATAAGAGCTGCAAATGAAGTGGGAATGTAGTTCCCATTTACAAAACTTTTGGCGGGTAAATTATTATCTCAGAAACCGCGGAATCTGGGAAGCTGAAATTTTATTATGTTTTCCATACTCACGTACGATGTCTTAAATTTGAATCCAGCCATTTTGTGCCTGCAGGTGTCACGTGCGGCTCCGTGAAAATTTTGGCAGGTCAATTATTGCCTCGGGAACCATAAAAACCAGGAAGCTGAAATTTTATAGTAATATCCTCCGCCCACATACAGTCCCGCAAACTTAAATTCAGCCTTACTGCACATCCGAGAATCACGACCCCGCGAAAGTTTCGGTGGGAGAAATTGTCTCGCGGACCGCGCAGTTTGGGAATCTGAGATTTTGGGGTGATGTCCTCTACCAACGTACGACCCTGCGAATTTGGATTAAGCCTCCACGCACCCCTGAGTACCGCGTACTGCTGCGTGAAGGTTTTGGCAAGGAAATTATTATCTCGTGAATTACAAAAGCTAGAAAGTCGAAATTTTAGCGTGACATCCCTGCCCACATAAGACTCTGTACTTTCAGCTTCCCCATGGAACTTTTGGCGGGAAAAGTCATTATCTTGGGAGTCAGAAGAGCTAGGAGGCTGAAAATTTCAGAAAAATGTTGCCTGTCTAAGTAGGGCTTCACATGTTCGAATTCAGTTCCTAAGTATGCCGAACTCTCACGTGCTGAAGTTTTGTCACAAAAACCACTCGAAAACCAGGAAATTAGGAGACTGAAATTTTGGAAAGATATTTACTCTTCGGGATTTAAAATTCAGCTCTCACGTCCTGGAACGCGAGAACTGAATCCGAGGGACCAGACATTTCAACTATTTTCGCACAGACCAACGTGCAAAGCAGTGGGAATCATTAGCAGGCAATCGTACGGTGGATGGAATTGCACAAAACGTACGATCGCACCGCCTGCCGTGGTGCTCGCCGCTATTTCTTTTGCTCTTCCGCTTTAATGCTGAGGGGAGCTTTACGCTTTTTCGTTCGTATACTTCACTTCTTTCATGTGGGCAGCTTTACAATTTAGTCTATGCCATGTAGGAATGGCATGACAAGCTACAGATTCGAATGCCTGTTTTTGAAGCATGTATGGGTAGCTCGCGGTTAAGCGAATATTTCTTCAAATTATTGTCCTTCATGTCTGGCGGGAACCGCCTCGT